ATCACCAAATAGTCAGAATAAGAGTAACAACCCAATACAATAAAGTGTATTAGTTCTAAATTGTAAGCCTCTAAAACATTGGTGTAAATAGTACAGGTTTTATTGAAACTTTAACCTTAATTCAAAGTACAGTATACAAATCATCAAATACTTTTGTGAGAGGTCAAGTATATAGATACTAGAATATAATGTTAAATGTCAGGTTCTTCAGAAACGTTAGGGGACACATGTTGACATTCTGCATAGCAGCTGCAGAACTCCGTACAGGGAAGGTCAACAGAGAGGCACTGGCACTTTCCACTCTCTCCACACTTTGCATCTTTGCAATACAAGTGAGTAATGTCTCTCACTTCTGTAGGTGCTGGGGGTTTTGTAAATAGCACTGGTTGAATGGCCCCATCTCTGACAATCCACCCCTTGCCAACAGGACTCCATAACAAGGGTTTGGGTTCCTGTGAACCATATCGCTGTCTGAAACATTGCTCTTTACATGTTGTTGAAATGCATCCTCTGTTGGCGGCAGATTTTTCGAGGCTGCATCTGTTGTTGATGCAATAATGAACCTCAGTTCATCCAAGTTAGTGCACATCAGTCCAATTTCCTTTTTTCCATATAGCAGAAGCGCAAATTCTCTTGCAACTGGCAAAGATTCTTCGAAGCTGGCAGAGAGTCCAAAATGGGCCAGATCTTTGAGCTCGTTGAGATGGGTCTTGAGTTTGGTGAATGCTGCCCTGAACACTCTGGTCAGGGTCACAACGACCTGCTGATGCTATTGTCTTTCCTATTCTGTACAAACCACTTGTTGTGCCACAGCCAGTGAGTGCACGACATGCTGGTAGACAGTTAGACATGTATTTTCCAATTTTCTCATGGTGTTGATGGGGACATATCTCAAAAATAATCAGCTCACCGGTGATTTGCAGCTGGCGTGGTTGACCGTGCATGCGTGGTGAACTGCGTGTTAGAAAAATGGACACACCTACGTCAATCAAGTGCCAAATGCCAGTAAGGATAGATGATAGGCTAACCTTTTTTGTGATCTACCCACACTACCTTGACGTATTGGGCACCCCATGGTCTACAGAAATGTGAAAGCCACTGACATAAACTCAACAAATCAAAAACCAGCTCCACTCAACTATTTACAATTTAAAAACATATATTTATATACACAGTGTATCTCAAACGAGTGCAACCATCTTCTATTCAGTCACAGCTTAATTTGATCTAATTAAATCTGTTGACAGACAGTTATGTTACCAGCACAATGAGACATGAATTAGAGTCTTAAACTTAGCTCAAAGTTGTAGATTGTTATTTTATATTCTGATATCCCAAAGTTACCAGTTGATTTAAAATCCTGCAGTTACTCCTTATTTTGTTGTTTGTATAGACATCTTTATATTTTCATTAAAATAAACATAGTTTTAGAGTGGTTCTACTGATACACATTGTGGTTTTTAATGTTTTAATGTGAGCGTATAGTTTTTAAATGCACTGACCAAGAAAATACATTCCTCACTGAAAGCACTTTAATATAGTACATATTACTTAGTAGACGCTTTTATCCAAAGAGACTTACATACTCAATACTGTGGGCAATCCCCACAGGAGCAATTTGGGGTGAAGTGTCTTGCCCAGGGACACAATGACATGTAGTGGGGTTTGAACCTGATCCCAACACCACTCTATCCACTGCGCCACACGCCTCCTAGTAAAAGCACAGGTTTAAATAAATAATGGCTGAATATAATTCAGTCACACGGTCGAGGCTTAGCCTAGACTGGAACATAACAGTTAATGTTATTAGTAACACCTGTCCTGAAATACCAGTCAAAATGTCTGCTGTGAAAACAAGCCTGTTATCCACCCCTTTAAATACCATACATAAAACATTAACACTTGACAGTTTTGCAGCAGGAGTGAGTAGTGAGTTTAAATGACCATGTGACACGCATGGAAAACACACTTTTTGTGACAATTAAATGTAAAAAGTCTGTTTTACATTGAAGCATATTACCATTTACTGTAGAATAAATGTAGATCAAAACATTATTATAGGCTGGTTGTTTTAACTAGCTTGGGGTTGAGGTGGGGAGAAGTGAGGGTGCTAGGGGCAGAGAAGGGGAGGGCTCCTTGATGATACGCCAATGGGAGGAAGTATCCTCATCCAGCGTCCCTCTCACGTGTGCGCCACTGTCAATCAATCCACCACGTCATGAGTCTCATTCACAGGTGATATCTATTAGCTTATCTCCTATATGCTGTCAGCTGTCTCTTCCTGCGGTCTATCAAACCTTTTCCTTCCTGTGGTGGGAGAAATTGTAGGTGGAGGGTTTGGCAAGCTGCAGTCCGCTTTGCAGATGCCATGGTTGAGCAGTGAGCATGGCGGAAAATCATCTGGAGTACGGCTACCTGGAGGGCGAGTCCATCGTGGAGCATTTCGCCGACGACGCGGTGGGTATCATCGTTTTAAACTGAATGAAAAGGCTGCCGTCCCGTTTGTTTGCACGCACGTAACCTATAGTACGGCGAACAGATGAGGGCTGTGATGTTGGACAAGCAAGTGCAAACATAAGCTATGCTATGTGTGTCGTTTTATGACTGATAAACGGTATGTGCATAAAGACCGACATCATTGAATCACATCCAGTATAACATGCTGAGTGAGTGTTCGGCTTGGAGCCAATCAGGTGCACTAAATGTCCTGGGTGAGGTGTTGAACACAGGGTGGCTCAGTCACTGAAATAAGTGATGGTAAAACCCCGTTCTACCTGTCCTGAAACCCCAGGCCAGCTACATGTTGTACTATGACTTGAACTGATTACATTATTAATATATGTTTTCATTAAATTAGTAATTTGGTGCTTCAGGAGATCTTAATGCTACATTCACAATTGTGTAAAGTAAAAGATGTCCATAGTCATTTTATTTAACTGAATTTCCCCCTGGGGGATCAATAAAGGGCTATCTTCTTCTTCTTTATGATAGCAAACCACCCTTGTTAAAAAAACTGCAAGCTACACATACGTCACCAGAAAATCTTTACATTTTCTTTTTGAATCAACACAATGTATCGAAATGGTATCAAAATCAAGATGGCCTGAGGCAATATGGGCTACTCATGTAGTGTTGGTGATCCCCAAATCTCCTATAGGTGTTATTGTGCTGAGATCTGGTAACTCTGAAGGCCACAGCATATAATTCCCATTCATTCTTAAATCATCCAGTGACCTTGTTGAAGCATCTTTATCCAATAAGATTCTGCACTAAATTATTCAGGTTTCAAGGTTATCACGTATTCCTTTATTTGTTCCAACCAGTCAGATTTGTGTATGTCTTTTTCTGTTTTAGTCAACACTGTATGACTTCATGCTCTGATTTTGTGCTTGTTTCTCAGGAGCTAGCGGCCATCAAAGCCAGAGTTCATGAGATGGAGATGGAAGAAGAGTCGGATAGACTGGAGGAGGAGAGGTGTGATGCAATTGACATGCACCTCCTAACCAGTAGCCCTCGGCCTGGTGAGACAGCCCGTGCGTTTCATTCACCTCCTGGTTTGTTACTGTGTCACTTTGTGTAGTAAGTTACTTGTAATGCATTTGGGAAGCCTCAACAGCTTATTTTTAGCCAGTTGTGTGTGTAGCATCGCAGCCTCCAGGCAGGTGAGGTAGCTGCATCCTTCACCATCTGGCTAACACCTGGGACACTTCTCTGTGGTCACAACAGTGTTCACATGTGCCTCATCACTGCCCAATGAGACGAAGTAGTGAGCTCCAGAGGACCAGAAGGGGTCCTCCTTCCTGCCTGCAGCTATTTTTTGCCTGTGTGCGTGTCCTCACCCACTTTCTCCCTTTTGGTTCCTCCTCAGACCAGAGATGCCATCAGAGGGGAGCTAGATTCTGACATATACTATCTAAGATGGCGCAAGCGATGGATATAATGACGGAATTATCATTGTGTTCATGACACTTGGAGTGACCCCCTATGTAGGCAGTATTTTCTCTATGCTGCAAACATAAGAGCAGTGGTTACAGTTTTTGTTTCCTTCACAGGACCATTCTACAACATGACTCCAGAGGAGAGGATGGATGCAGACAACAGATCAGTCTATGTAGGAAATGTAAGATGTAATGTATTTTTCTTTTATATGAGAAGGTTTTTCGCACCTCTGATCTGACAATACTGTTTAATTGTAACAGGTTGACTATGGAGCTACTGCAGATGAGCTGGAGATCCATTTCAATGGCTGTGGTCCCGTCAACCGAGTGACCATCCTGTGTGACAGGTTCTCAGGCCATCCAAAGGGGTGGGTAACACTCCCGCTTACAGTTAATACTTTTTTTTTTATACCTGACACTGTTTGACCATAAAATACTGCTTTTAAGCGTGTTGGCTTTAAATTTATTCTTTTTCTGCCTTTTTTTCTTCCCCTTACACAGTTTTGCTTACATCGAGTTCTCTGATCCAGATTCTGTTCACAGTGCTGTTGGTTTGCATGAGACCTTGTTCAGGGGAAGGGTCCTTAAGGTGAGGAGCATTAAACTGCACGGTAGTCTGTATGAAAATCTCAGACAGTTAGTTACTCATCGTCAGTCACATCTAAATGATGCACACACAGCATACAGAATACATCTTAGTACGACTAACACTGGATTTTAGCATAACTTGGTGGTGGAAAAGGTGCTTGGATAGGGTTTTCTTATTGTTAGGAATAATATCACTGTATAGATACTATCTCAAGTACAAGTTTGCATTCAACATCTTGAGTTAAAGTGCATAAGTATCAGCATGAAAATAAACCTTAATTATTTGGTACGCAGAATAACTAAAATAAATAATCGTTCAGATCATCATTCATATGATTATTTAAAATTGTATTCATATAAATCTAAAGTAACAAGTTGTCAATATTTATCTTTTGAAATGTATTGGCATTGAATACTCTAAGTGCGTTTTTAGATAAATATTCACGTAAAATGAGAACCTCAAAATTGTACACAATTAAATGTACTTAGTTACTTTCCAGTAGTGGGACATATCAATTATCCTGATTCCTCCTTAATTGATTTAAACCCCAAGGACCTGGTTTCCATTCTGGCACGGTAAGGTTTGACACATGTCATCCCTCTGTCTAAAAACAAAAAAAGGCACTGGTTGCCCATTTAATAATTAAAATAAAAACTCCTCCAAAAAAGACAATTTGGTCATGTGTACTTCAGAAACTGTAATATCGCTCCGTCTGGTAGATATAGAAACAACCACAAGAGTTAATGTTATTTGGGTTTGACTCAATTGTAACTATTAGGACATTTAAGGTTTAGCTATTCATCAAACGATAATCAAACCATCCTAAACATTATTGTAAAAGTCTTCATTGACTTGCAGGTAATGCCCAAGAGGACTAACATGCCAGGCATCAGCACCACGGACAGGGGAGGACACAGAGGGGGCCACACCAGAGGCAGGGGCCGTGGTTTTCGTCCGCCCCGATACCAGAACAACACTCGCGGTAGGTTCCGGTACCAGTCGACCAGGCCACAACACCAAACCCCCCACCCTTACTACGGAGCGCCTCCAGTGGGGAAGAGACAGTGGGGACACATGGACTACCACGAACAGATGCCTAAACGTTACCCGTGTCTTCTCCTCATCACTCCCCCATCAGAGGAAATGGGGCCAGGTTCAAGTGGTCCGCACTACCCTCAACAGCGCTAGCACTAACCACAAAATGCACACTAAATTTGGTGAAAATTACTAATTATTTTAAAGAAATGTTTACAGGCATTACTGAGTTGAGTATTATGTGAGAGCCAGAATGGAGAAAGAGATGACTTTCTAAGTTGCATCAGGGATTCAGGATGTGAAGAGAAGAAGACTGAGTCCAGAGGTGTTGCATTATTAGCTTATGTTGCTGTGGATGCATGGGACAATCCTCAAATAGTTATGCAGTTGCATCTCTTACTGTTTTTACAAATTGGTTGAGAACATTTTGTGTTGCTGCCTGCAATGTCTTGTATAAAGTCTCCCTATGTATAACTTAATTTCTTTGCTATGTTAGAAAATAAATAAAACAATGATCTGTGATCCATTTGTAGTAAAAAGTGACACGCGCACGGCATGATAATCAACAAATGTAGTTTATTATGCATTTAAATCATCAAGGCAACATGTTAACAATAGTTGGGATTAGGGGTGTTCTGTACAGTGGAGGTTCAGGGGAAGAGGGGGAAGAAGTGTCAGCCAGCTTGCACCATCATTCCAGATACAATGCCATCGAAAGCCCTGAAGAAGGATTGATCAACAATTAAACAATGCTAGATTTGGATGATATAAGTGACAACATTTCTTGAAAATCTAGTCAAGCCTTAACTCACTTGGACTGAATGGTGTCCCCTGGAGTGTGGAATGGGTTGCACATTACATCAGTGAAAGAGTTGTGTAGTTTTCTGAACATCTGGAAAAGAACAAGTAATTCATTAATAAACAACCCACACACACCTTGTAAAGTTTCATCATAAATGTGTGCATCTTACAGTCAGGTATATTGATAATTATGTTTAAAATGTGTGTGGTAAGGATTTTGCACAAGGGACTGATTAACAACTTGCCCAGATAAAAGCACTGAGAAAATATAGGGGAGCTCTTTGCTACTCTCCCAGTTTTAAAATACATTGTAAGCTGAGGCATCAGGAAGTGGCCGTTTCTCAATCGCGAGGTATTGGCTTACAAGCCAATATTTCAAGTGGCGCAGCAAGACCGTTCCAATGTCCAGCATACTTGGAATTCCACCGAGGCCCGTCCTTGGTTTGGGGGAAATTTCGAGGCTGTACATGGGTAGACTTTGGCCGTTTCTCAATCGCGAGGAAACTGGCTTCCAAGCAATATTTCAAGGATACTACATCGAGTGCCGCCGAAGGACTGTTCCAATCTCCAGCATACTTGGAATTCCACCGAGGCCACGTCCTTGGTTTGGGGTTAATTTCGAGGCTGCACATGGGTAGACTTGCTCCCCAATGCACGGCCAATTTCAAAAACCCTTGCGGAGAATGGCTGAACCGACGCAGCATTTAAATGTAAGTATGTAGTGGCGTAGAACATGTGTTGGTAAATATTAGGGGTGCACCGAATGGGAAATTCTTGGCCGAAACCGATAAAGAAAATAGGAAACAGTTGGCCGAAAACCGAATGCCCGATGACATGCTGGTAGACAGTTAGACATGTCTTTTCCAATTTTCTCATGGTGTTGAT